GTTTGTTTTCGAATTCCGAGGACGGAATTCTTTTTAAGGTGGGTAGACTGTAATGCCCCGTTAATTTATGGATTATTTGGAATTTATTTATTGGCAATATTATTTGTTATTTGAATTAATTGTCTATATTTTATTGTAGCTCGACAATTCTCATTTAGACTTATATTAATTAATTAGACGTTCTCGTCTTATTTAATTTAATGGGTTGTAATATTCGATTAATCGTTCGTCGTCAATCGGTTAGTCGTACGATATTGCTCGGTTTTAATTCTCGATAAAGTGGTAATCCTAGCCATTTATGCTATTTAATTCAAGTTAGTTGAATTAATTTTGGGTCATTCTTCTTTTGTTTTAGCTAGCCCAAAGGAGTTATTTCCTAGCATAATAATTTAAATTGTGATGGCCTAATATCTTGTAACTATTTTAGCCCAATGAGTAATAACCCTTGGCCCATCAAGAATTAAACGCGGAATTAAACTCTTCTCCCACAGACCAAGTCGTCCCTCTCTCTCGTCCGTTACGATTTTCACGAGGATCCCCCACCGCACGTTCTTATCTCGCATCGTCTTCTTAAGACTCGGTCGAAGAGTTTTCATCGGGGAATCATTCAAATCATTCTCCTATCTCTCTCCCTCTCACGTATCAGTTTTCAAATAAATATTTGAAGCCTGCTCACGCAGGCAGAGAGAAGAAATTGCCGTATGCACCTCCTTCTTCGGCGGCCATCCCTGCAGTCGCCAACCGCCGAGAACCTTCGCTCGCGAGTCATCCCCGAAGCTCCGACCACCATTGATCCCGGCGAACCCTCCAGCAGAACCGCTGCTATTTGAGTGACAACCGTCATCCTCGAATAGCTGGCCATTGGACTCCGGCCATCTTGAGCGCGAGATCCCGAGCAGCAGCCCGTCCATTATTTTCTAGGCGAGAACTTCCCGCTCCTCGCCGCTGTACCGTCAGCTTCCGTCGGACCTCGAAACTTCGCACAGCAACCCAGTCGTGAGGATTCCTTGTCTGTGGACAGACCGGCCGCTTTGTTTGCTGAAGCATTCAGTCCCGTGTTCGGAGTTCCGTCGACGCTCCATTCGTCCTGTTCGATCGTTCGATTTTCAACCGACCTCGTAGATTCCCAAAGAATGGTGTTTGAGGAGTCGAGCCTCGACCTACGTACTTGATTTTGTGTGCAATATTCTACATCGATTTCCAGGTGGGTTTTATTTGAAAATTTGCTATGCCGTAAATAATGTATTTGTTGTTGGGTTGGTATGATCAATGCATGCTTGTAAATTTGTGTAACCTTCGTGTGAGCTGGATGTCATTCGAATGGTTGTCCCCGTTGTTGAGAGTTGTATGTCCTTCGCCGGTGCCTTGCGAGGCAATCTCCCTAAGTCCTAATGATAGGCCATACCGTTGAGAGTTGTATGTCCTTCGGTATGCACTCCCATTGTTGAGAGTTGTATGTCCTTCAATGGCTAATGATAGATGTGCACATGAGTGAGATTATTGGTGTATTGATTGGAGATGTGACATGTCAAATTGATTTATGATCATGTTGTGACCATACCCTTTGTTATATTATTTATGTGCATAGTGGTGAGCACTACTGTTTCTATTTGGGCTCATCCCCACCTGCTCTTCATGGATGCAGGTTATTAAGTGCGGCACGGCGGAGGGATGCGAGTGGTGGTCGGTTACTATTGACTGAATTATTATGTGATATTGCTTCTTCACATTGAACTGAATATATGCTTATCGTGCATGATTTTGAAAATTGATGATTGGCGATGATGGATTTTCGAATTGGTAGCGCCACCAGTGATTTGATATAAATTTTGAAAAATTTATTACTGATTTTCGTCAAATAAAAAGTGGGGCGTTACAGGAGGAGATGAACAACGTCGGGGATATAAGGAACTCTTGAACTGAGTCGGAAGAAGCAGCGGTCGAGGAGGAGGATGGAGAACTCAAATCAGCACCGGAGTGATTGTCGTTTCACTGGAGGTTGCAGAGTCTGAAAAACTAAGAGTAGATGGAACAATATTAAGAAAGGAGCCTTTACGAGAAGAAAGGGAAAGAGAAGGAAGCTTCCAAGGCTAGGGTTTTTCCAAAGGGGCGATTTTGGGAAAAAGTTAGAAGGGAAGAACAGAAATTTCGAAAATTTTGAAAAGAAAAACAAAATTCACAACGCTGGACAAGCAAATTGGGATACCCAGTACACATATTCAGAACAAAACGCACCAATTCAGAAAATTCAACAGATAAATTCAAGATACCCAATGCGAAAAAATTCAGGAGCATATAAATTTGAAGCACAGGAGGCACGAATTCAAGTGAAGAAAAACTTACTCATAGTCACAGTCGGAGGAATTGAAGGAGCCTTGAGAATGCAAGAAGAATCGCTGAAAGCAGGAAGCTAGGGTTGCAGAGAAATCTTAGAGCTCGAGAGAATTCAGAGTATGCAAAGGTGTAAAAAGTCCAAAAATTCGCTAAGTGTGGGATTTATACCTAGAAGATTTGAGGGGTTGGAAGATAAGAGCCGTTGGATTAAAGTGGAATCTCACGGTTTAGAACGATCAAGCAACTCGGGATTCAAAAAAGCGCGTGATGCGAGGGGGTGCAATAATTAAAACGCCTGTCAGACGCGACAGATATGACATGTGGCAGATGCGCAGGCGCGGCAGAGAGGACGCGTGGCAGACAACTTTATTTCCAGCGGTTAAAGGGAAATAATTGAAAAAAAAAAGCTGGAAATGCACCAGATTGTCGATATGTGACCTAATACTCAGAAGAAAGACGAGCACGGATTCACTCTTAGATAGAGTCATTCAGACTCGACCAGAGTGGGGGAACTAGATAATATGGGATATTATACCCACGAGGGTAAACCGATCCGCTGAGCCGGTCGAAGGGGTTGTGTCGCGAGGGAGCCGAACTAATTTAAGAGTAATCGAGCAACATGATGGTCGACCACCTTTAAGATAAGACCTGGAAGACTCCGAAACAGATAGTGTATCACAGGAAGTCGAGCAGTCGAGCAGTTGAGTCGACCTCAATAGATCGACCACTTTATGGATTGGCAGTATTCTGGAGATCGACCTAGTCACAGGCACGTGTAAGAGCCTCTAACCGAATTTCAGGTGAATATTCAGAGGAATAATCATCCCATGTGCAGAGGACACGTGGGGATAATGCATTTGTTGACAGCGATAACCAACTCTGATGACTCCCAACGCCACCTCTGACATACGCACGGCGTGTCAGAGTACGGACGGGCAGTTGGGGCAGCCGGCTCACCGAGTCTGGGCAGCCCTTAGGTCAGGTATTTCACCCCTATATAAAGAGGGGTGAACCTTTCTTCTTTAACACACAATTTCCATTATTCAACTCGTACATACATATCCTTAATTAAGCTTCGGAGGCTCTTTACCGGAGAACCCTCCAGTGTGAGAGTTACTTGCAGATTTTCGGCGTTCCACCGGCGAGGACGAGAGGCGACCTATCTTAAACCGGCCAGGATGCTTACACTTGCATTAGAACCTTCCAAAACCCGCTTGTTCCAACGATTTATCTAATTGTTAATATAAGTACTTTGTGCAATATGCTTAATAATTTCTTTGAATTATTTTTTGTTTGCCTTGGCTTATTAAAGTTTTTGGATCCACCGTTGTTTATGATTAACTCTAATCATTTATGTCTGTTCTAAAAGTCGCTAGGCGCCCGTTAGGCGCTCGACCAGCGCCTAGCGCCAAGAGCGCCTAGGCGGGGCCTAGGCGGCGCCTAGTCGGGGCCTAGAAATCAATATTAAATACCTTATTTTTTATTTATTTTAACTACCTACAAAATAAAATTATCTAAACTTATAATAAATCGACACACCTAAGTCCAAATAATTAAATTAATATATTTTAAAGAAAATATGAGAACAAAATAATGTAATTAATATTTAAAAAATAAAAAAAAATAAAAAAAA